CAATATGAAATACAGACAAAAGAAGACACATATGCAAGGTTACTGTCTCGGATTGGATGTCCTAGAAGTAAAGCCTGAGATGGAGATTCCTGTATTCTTGGGAAACGCACTGACTGAGAATTGGATTGTAGGAGAAATGGGTGAGGAAATGAAGGACGGGGACAAAGGAAAGAAACGAGCAAAACTGTGTTTTTTAGGAGAAATCTAGCCTCAGCCTGATCCCACAGGAGCTCTGTGAATGAGCTGTGCCATAGAGGTTGTCCTGCCCAGAGGCAACGAGGCTGGGCTGTTAACCGACCACCCTCACTTTCCACCCCACGTCAGTCAATCATCGGTCATATGGTACCCCCAGGAAAGCAGGGGAGCAGGGTGGGTGAAACTTCCCCAGCATCTCCAGGTAAGGCAGCTTCTGCCAACGAGGGGAATGCTCCAGAAAATAGTACAGGGTGAGCCATTATCAGCCAACTTTTATGGCAGCTGGGGTTGAGGACACTGCCGTGGTAAATGGCATCTGGATGGGGACCTAACAGCAACAGCTATCTTCACATACCTGGGAAGTAGGTGAAGAAAAAAAAAAAAAAAAGAAAAGAAAGAAATAAAGAAAACAGCACCAAAATAAAGAGAGTCTGCTGACTGGCTCCAATCCAGTTTTGGTCTGTCTCCCAAAGCCATAAATGCTCTTAACCTCATAGTCACATATGCACTTAGTATATAGTTTTTATCTACTTTATCTCATTGAATTTTCCCCAAAGTAGAGTGAAGTTAGCATCAGCCCATTTTTACTAAGAAGAAAATTGAGATTCTGAGAATTTGAATCTAAGGCTACACGGCCAGGATTCGCACTCAGGTCTGTTGGCTCTAATTTATTTTTCTTTCCTGTTACCTAAGTGAGAAATTTGGCAAAATGAAGTAAAGATCTTGGTGTCAGGATGAACTAAGCTCCAAGGACATTTCCTACATGAAAATACTTTAGTCAAGCAACTAAATAAGAGAGCATCGCTTGCTTTGGCCCTTTCTCCTTTTTCACCATCTGGAGAGCTCTGTTGTGTTGCTTTGGCTTTTAGCTCAAGCTCGGGCTTCCTAAATGAACTTCTATCAGTAGGGAGAGTGTTTCATTAGGTCCCTGTTGCATTAAGTCCCAGCCACTGTTTTGGTCAAAGATGATCTTGGCATCTCCTAACTGTCCAACCCTGACTCCTAGATGTCATAGTTTCCTTTACAGGCTCTGCCTAGTAGACAGACATGTTTGCTATACTTCTTCCTATCCTTACCCACGATTGGATGCACTGAAAAGTAGCAAAGCGAGACATTAGAGACAAAATTCCGACTGTAATGAGCAATGACTCTATCATTGTGGGTAAGCCCTTTAACCTCTGAGACTGAGTATTCTCCCCTATGAAATTAGCATGCCATTTCCTACTTCTCAGAGTTGTTGTGTGGGTTATAAGCAACCTATTTAAAACACCAAACACAGCAGGTGTACAATAAGTGGTAGTTGTCTTTATGAGACAGACATACCTGTGCAGGAGCCAAAGACAAAAGAGTGCCTGCTAAGTTCACTCCCAGCACATCAGCCTTGGAAAGTGGCTGTCCAGGCCACAAGTGTCTGACCTGCAGTGACTTCTCAATGTGTTTAACTGTTCCACATGCCTGCAAGAAAAGTCTGTTGCCTCTACCTCCTACTCCTTCTCCATCTCCATCGCCACTGTCTTCATTCCTCAAGCTGTCCTTGTCCGGAATGTCCTGCTCTGGCGTCAACATTGTCTTTCATGCTCTGGCTCCATGGCAGTTCCTCCACAAAGCCTTCCTGTGAGAACAGCAGGGTCCGGGTGGCCCACAAGTTAAGTGACCTGTGTTGTAGCTCTGTCATGTGACCTCTGGGAAGATTCTTCATCTCTTACTATTTCTGAGAAATGACATCATGGGAGCAGTCTCTGCCATCTCTCACCTTCTGTTTGTGATACGTGATGCCAACACTCCCCATTGCCAGGCAACTAATCCCCCAGAGTGAGAAATATTTCTCTCTTCTTAAAAAATGACTTGTGGGCAGGATCGCTTCTTATACTTTAGTTTCCCCCCCTCTATAATGAATCTAGTTATTGCTGAATCAAATATCAAACTCTCAACACACTGCCCTGCCCATCTCTACACAGCTCAGCTTCCATTTCCATTGCCTTCTTAGCCCTTCATCATGTATTAAAACCCAGAATAAACAATTCATGCCTATTATTTTATGCTGCACTTTCTTTTTATATTTTTGAGGACTTAATACCATTCTGAGCACATAGTAGGGGCTCAGAAGAAAAATATAGTTTTAATGATTAATGGTGACCTCTGACCCCATCCTGGTAAGCAGCAGGCACATCGGGCATTGGCTTCTTCTGCTCTGCATCTCCCTGTAGCTGAGAGTCACAGTCTCCCAGGACAGGGGGCCAAGGAAACCTGAGCTCAAAGGCACACCATTTTTCCTAAACTAGCAAATTTTCAGGCTGTGATCTGAAAACTAAGTGGCGTTAACAGGATTTCAGTGCTATCTGATTACCGGAGGGAAGGAGAGGGTAAGGGCATCCTGACTCAGGAGCCTCACGTGCAGCGATTATTCCAAATAAAGTAGCTGAGGCTTTGCTTGGCTGCTCTCAGCTGCCTCTCTGGAAGAACAGCACCTAGACATCCCCAGTCTGCCCCCAGGCCTGGTCCTGTCAGGGCAGGAGCCTCACTCCCTCCAGCTGGCATCGGTCTTTGTCAATAGAATTGGTATTAGGTGTGTTCAAGAGCAAACAGGTGCCCATTAGGCTCCTGAGTCACTGTATTTCAGTCCCATCAGGACAGGCCCAGGTTCACTTCAGGGCCTTCTCTGAACTTGGCAGTGCTCAGATGAGAACTAAATACCTGGGCTAGGTCTGGAGCAGTCGCTTCTTACTCCTTGCATCTCCCTAGCGGCTGACTAAGCTTACACCAAAAAATGAATGAACAGACACTACCACTAGGACCCCTGACCTGCATGCTAGACCTGTATGGACATTTCCTTAGTCAAGACTCTGCAGGCTCAAATCAACAATGACTGATTTTACATCCACCAGTCATTTTATGCTGCACTACTCCCTACCATCAGCCGTGCTAGATCTTGACCCTAGTGCTTGTCCTGTCTTCCTCCTTGCCTACCCACCATCCCTTGCCCCAACAGTCCACACTTCAACCATCCCTTACACAGTAGGGCACAGGCATTCACAGGAAGTTTGCAAAGAGCATCCTTTTGGGAGGCAGAGACTCTCACTAGAGTTTCCTTAGTCACCAAATTCCTAGACAGCCTTGGAAACTTGATTTAATCTTTCTGATGACTGGATAAACATTTTTTAAAATGTGGTATATATACACAATGGGATAGTATTCAGCCATAAAAAAGAATGAAATTCTGCCATTTGCAACAACATGGATGAGTCTGGAGAAAATGATGTTAAGTGAAATAAGACAGACAAAGAAACAGAAATACCGCATGTTCTCACTCATAACTGGTTGGAAGGAAGGAAGGAAGGAAGGAAGGAAGGAAGGAAGGAAGGAAGGAAGGAAGGAAAGGCAAGAAAAGACCATGACACTGCATTAAGGAAGAATAAACCTAAGGATACTAGAGATGAGGGGAGGGAGGGAGGGGGCTTGGGAAGTGACCGTTTGGGTAAAGGACATAAAGAAATATCACGATTTGTAAGAATGAATATGCTAATAATAAATTAAAAAATTAATAAAAATAATCTTTCTGACACTCTCATTTCTTCACCTCTTTAATGAGTGTGGCAAAAGCAGGATGCAGTGATGTGCTGCAGCGGGAAACACTCTGCATATTGCCAAGTACCAGGTCCAGGGAAGCCTGCTGTAAATGCTTCTGTTACTCCCTCTGGGGAAATGGTGGTTTGACGACAACCTGAATGGATTCCGAAGAGGAGAGCACGGGGCGGGGCGTGGGCCGTGCTAAGGTCAGGCCAGGCTGGAGCTGATGAAACATAACCAAAGTGACTCACTTCCCTGACAACGCCCCCGAGAAAAATGCAGGCTCTTTCTTGCTCTTCCTCTAACTGGGGCACACCTCTTAGGATGGAAAACATTTGGCACCAGGGAAGGAATGTCAGGTCAGAAGAAGTGTCCTTGAGTCTGTGCTTTTCCTTTTGAGTTTCCGAAAGTGTTGGGTAGAACCATAAATAGATAAGTAACTGTGCTTTGGCAGTACATGGACTCCAGGCCCTGGCTTATAGTCAATGTGACCTTGGGCAAGCTCCCCACATTCTCTGGGCCTGTTTCCTCCTTTTTGAACTTGCCATAATAATTCCTACATTCCGGGGTTACTTGAGGAAATTTGAATGAGTATGTGTAGGAGAGGATCAATAATGTCTACTTCTCTCTTCTTCCTTAAGTATAAACTATGACGGGAAATGAGTTTATTTTGCTTGTTTGTATTTTCTCTTTTTCTGTAATGAATATGTTTTACTTTCATAATGAAAAAAAAAAATCCAATCTACTTAATTCTGTAAAAGGCTGAGTGAATGAAGAATGCATGAGAAAAATGAGAGTTAGAAGAGCTCATGTGACCACCTTCAGCAAGGCAGCTGTTCAGGGCCAGAAGTGAAACTGCCACTGGGGCTGTTGTCTCTGGGGGCAGGTGCGGGGCTCCTTACCCTCAACTTTGCCCTTTTCACTTTTTAGTATCAACCCTTGGGAGTTTAAATTTTCTTTCACATTTAGGACTCCATATTCAGAGTTGATTTTGAAATATACACATATTTATGTCTCAATGAATATGGAATATATGTCTATAAATGCATATCGATCTTTCAGGAAATAGATAAACAGACTCCCAGACTAAGCAAAAGGCTACCTGCCTCTTTAGTCAGCTTGTCACAGAACCGACAGGATGGAGACACATAGATTTTGCAATTTCTCTTTTCTATTCTAGGTGACTTTCTGGAAGCCAGTTGTCACCTGGGGCAAAGCACGCAGCCTCGAGATCATTCTGAAGGCCAAAGGTTTAATCCCTTTTATTGTAGGTTTCTTTCATCACTGAGATCAGGAGTATATGCAAATATTCTTTGAGGCCAAGATGAATCACAGGGAACCTCTGGCCAGTTATTAACTGCTTCCCCATCCTTATTATTGCTTTGCTCACTTTGAGTTTACATGGGGTTAAAATCCACATTCATGTAATTGGGGAAGTTGGGAAAGGGTGAAACCACCCCCTCCAAGAATAATAGAGAATCTCAGTAAAAATAAATCTTAAAGTGCAAGTAAAAAATAAATCTAATGACCACAGTGAGACATTAAAAATTTAAAAAAAAAAAAAAGAGCAATGCAGAAAGGATAAGGGGGAGAGAGGTCCATAATAGATACATAATAGATATAAAACATTTTCCTTTTCTTTTTCTTTTTCTTTTTCTTTTTTTTTTTAAAGTAATAGAGGAATATAGGTTCTGCAATGAGTGCAACACAGACAGCTATTTTGAATTGGGGGCAAGTTAATTATATTCAAAAAAAGACAGCGTCTTCTGAAAAAATCTTTTTTTTTTCAGTGTAATAGTTTAGTTGCTTCATATAGAGACATATTACACAATGTTAACAACCATGAAAAACAATACAAAATGCCCTCCATTTAACAAGTAGAAAAATATAACTAGTATATATGGCAATTGTGAATCTAATACTGTACAGAAGTAATTTATGGACTTTACAAATAAATTATAGCTTCAATGTCCTTTTAAAATTCTTTTTTTTTTTTTTTCTCCCTCTAGATGTACACCAGGACTTACAACAGGAAAGGTTCTGAGCCTAGCTGATTGCACATCAGTGCCAGTCAAATGTCCTGCCGACGAGCTCGAAGAACTTCTTATTTGGCTCGTGAAAATATTCGTGCAGTTTACTGAGCAGTTTGGGATCGACTTGGGGGTGCGCCCGGCCTTTGGACTCGTGCAAGCAGCGGTCCCGGCCGCCGTCCCGCAGGCAGTAAAAGCCCTTGGTTTTGTTAAAGTAGAAGTTGGAGGCGTTGATCTGCGGCGACAGCTTCAGGAACCGCTCGACCTTCTGGATCTCGGGGAAAGGGTCCCTGATGAGGCGGTCGCCGTCCACGATGTGGATGCGGCGCAGCGGGAAGCGGCGCAGCCAGTTGCGCAGGTGCAGGTGGTAGAGGCTGCGGTTGAGCGCCTTGTAGTCCACGTTGAGCCTGCCGTCGCGCACCAGGAACTCCTCGATGGACGGGTAGGGCTTGCGCTTCTGCACGTGGTTGTACAACACTTGGGTGTAGTCGGACAGCACGCGCTCCGACGGGTCCCGCAGGATGAGCAGCAGCCGGATGGCCGGGTTCATGGCGTGGACCCTCTCAGGCACTTTGGGCGACGTGAAGTAGGCGGGGGTCTTTTCCACCGTGAGCTGGTGCGGGTAGGAGAAGGGCATCTGGCTGCGGTACCAGCCCAGGCCTTGGCGGTAATGCTCCTCCCAGTCGAAGAAGTGCACCTCGTTCTCGGCGGCCGCCACGTCGGGGTGCAGGCTGAGCATCTCCAGCAGCGCGCGGGTGCCGCCCTTGCGCACGCCGATGATGATGGTCTGCGGCAGCTGCTGGGCAGAGCCGTTCGGGGCCGCGCCCGCTCGGATGGCCTCCTCGGGGCTCCCCGCTTTGCGCAGAAGCTCTTGCTGGCCCGGCTCGGCCCTGGGGGCGGCGGTGGGGCGGGAAGGCACTAGCTGGGGCTGGGCCACCAGCAGCACCGCGCCCAGGAGCAGCGCGGCCATGCTGGACACCACGGTGGCTTCACTGGGCCGCACACGGCGGGGTCATGGAGCGCTGCAGCGGGCAAGGCCTTCCCGATCAATGGCGCATGGGTGTCTCAGGATGCCAATTACTAGGGAACAAAGGGGGAAAATATTAACCCAACATAAGGACAGGGGTAATCCAACTGACAACTGCAGTCACAGGTGTTGACCTCTCTGGGACTCTCTCAGTTTCTTTATCCTATAAAATAGAAGGTGACAAACACTTTCTGTAAAGGGCTGGAGAGTAGATATCACAGGTGTGGGGGACATATGGTTTCTACAACTTCAATTCCAACTATGCTGTTACAGATCTAAAGCAGCCATGGACAATATACAAGGAAATGGGTGTGGTTGTGTTCCAATAAAACTTTATTTATGGACGCAGATTTAAATCTTATATGTATACTTTTCATGTATCATTAAATATTATTTTCCTGTTTGTTTATTGTGCAGCCATTTATATGTTTAGCCCTCTGGCTGCACAAAAACAGGCCAGGTTTGGCCCAACAGCTATAGTTTGCCAACCCCTGCTATAAAGGAAAGGATTGGAAAGGTCCTTTGGATCTTAGCAAACATCAGCAAAATAGCTACCACCGGACAGTCCCTGGCAGAGGGGCAGGTAATATAGAAGCAGGCTTTGTGTCTGCCTCCCACTTGCCCTGTCAGGGGCTCCTAATCTAATAGGGTAGGTGAATCTACATGCAAGACTAAATAATTAGTCCCAGATTTTCACCCTGCATCCAACCCTTACCATGGACTCACTGTGGCGGAGTGTGCCTCTGAGGAACCTGATTTGGGCTTGACAAGCAGTGTGTGTAGACAGATGTGACACTTTGCAATCCCCAGCCTGGCTCAAGAGGCCTTGTGAGTTTCCACTTGCCCTCTTGTACTCCTGACATTGCCATGAAAAGAACGTGGCCTGGCCAGCCACTGGTCCCACGGGTGACCAGGGTCCCAAGGCTCAGGATGACAGCCAAGTTCATCAGAGCCACCCCACAAGTCCACTGTGTGCAGCACAGCCTGTCCAGCTCTGAGCGAGAATGGGTAACTGTGGGTTAAGCCCTTGAGTTGTGGGGTCGTTTGTATTGCAGCATGACCTTGGCAAAGGTGAGTTTGTGCAGCCTGACTACGGGTCTCAGGGTGATATATGTTACGACTGTAGTTTAGGTAGGGTACTATGAGGAGATGTGTTTATTTGCTTTGCCTAAAACAGTGGGGGATGGCTTTATAGTAGATGGGGTGTTTGATGTGGGCCTACAGGGACAAGCAGGTGAAGTTACTAGAAAGAACAAAAAGCCTTCGTGTATACAAAGCATAGTATTCATGAAGTGTTCTCATAGCTGGCTCAGTTGATTGTCACTGCAACCCCACAGTGTAAGTTAGGAAGGCAGGACAGTTACCGATACCATTTTATAGATGACAGTCTTGTTTAAGGATGTAAGTTTCAGTCCATGTCAGAATTCATAGCTCAAATTCAAAACTAAATGTAGGGCTCACTTTCCACAAACTTCCTCCTTCTACCAAACATATCCTTACCTCTCTGAGATTTATCACATTTAGGCAATAAAGTCCCACAAGGACACAGGCACTGCTGGTATAGATGCTATGGGGTTCCCAGCGACAGATGAGTCATAGCTCATGTTTTCAAGGAGCTGATACATAATCTGTGACTGACACTCTCCCAAAAAGAGGAGACTGGAAGCTCTCATTTAAATCATTCCTTTTTAACTCATTAAAGAAGGGTTAGAGACAGGCCCGACTTGGGGACTGTGGTATTTACAAAGCTGGTGAAAATCTTCTCCATCGCCTGCTTTATAGCAGCTTTAAAATTCACTTCATTAGTTTAAAATTGTCCAGAATGTATAAACAAAGAACAAAATCCAGGTCTTCCATTTTTATGATCAAACCAATCAATCTACCTCCCTCAGATATTAATTGTGTTAGTTGCTTTGAAAAACGTGTACTAAAAAGTAAGCAATTAAACAAATGGAAGCCTTTGAAAAACCACAGAACACTGGAGAAGGGAAGGGAGAGATCAGCAGTTCAACTCTTTAGTGGGAAAAAAAAAAAAAAATTTTTAGGGAGGGATGGCCAGGCAAGATATAGTTTCAGGTTGGTTCTACTGATTGGATGAGCTCAATTTAATGGGCATTTGCTTTAGTCAATTGAAAGTTTCAGTATGTTTCAGTCAAGTTTCATTTCCTTCTTAATTGCCCATGAGGGTCAACCAAATGGACCAGTTATTCTTTCCTTTTTCACATTTGGGGTGTGCATGTGCATGCTTGGGTGTGTGTGTGTTTGTGTGTTTGTGTGCATGTGTATGTGCATGCTTATGTGTGTGTGCATGTATGTGCACATGTGGCATGGGCTAGGTTGGGTGAGGAAAGGGGTGGGGGATAACTACAACACACTAGAGTGCTGTACTGTGTGTGGCGAGCACTGCTATCCCCATCTTAGAGTTCTATGTTCAGACTCAGGAAACAACACGAGATCCAAATCATTCAATACCTGAGTGATATTGGCAGAGCAGGTCTGAAATTCACACTGCCTGACTGCTCTTTCCACTCTAACATGAGGCATCCTGGTTAGCACAGCTCGCATCTGATATATATATTTTTTTTTCTAGAGGGGAATTACCAGCAGACAGCAGAGAAGAAACTAAATATAGTTTGTCCTTTACAAAAAAAAAAAAAAAATCTGGGCAGTTAGTAGTTTAAAATCTCCTTGTTTCTACTTTGATACTTTCTAAAAATGTATTTACTTGTGTCTAGATCTTTTTCATTCCAGTACTATTTGAAGTATATGGTAAGAATATTAGCTAAAATCTTACATATAGCTAAAGTCTTAATATTAGCTAAAGTCTTCCATATACACATACTATACACACACACACACACACACACAAATGACAGTATTTCAAAAAATTCATAGAAAAATAAAATTAAAAGATAATACTCATGTTTCCATACATTGTTTGAATACAGCTATGCATACTGTGGTTTGGTAATTTGGATTTCCTAGCGACACAGCTAGAATTTCTGGGCCTTTTAGTAACACTCAGAAAAGGTCCCCAAGCTCAGCTGAAACTGTAAGCCAGTCATTTGGGCCACCATGATTCTGACAATGGAATTACAAATATCAGGGCAGAAAAGAGCCATTTGGTCCCTGTCTTCCAAACCCTGAGATGAGTTGCCCAAAGTCACAGAAAATCTGGGGTCTAGAACTTGTGGCTCCTGAATTCCATACAGCAGCTGTTACTGCTGTCTCTCAAGTAAGAGGTTTGAAGTAAAATGATGACAATGTTTTTGCGGTCCCAAAGAAGAGAGACCCAACAAAATCTGCCCAGCTGTGACCGCTCTCTGGCCACCAACTCCAGAATCAGCTGGCAACAGGGGCACATACAGTACAGGGTCAAACTTGCTCATTTGTTCTGTTCAGTAAAACAGTCAGAAGGAACTGCCCAGGCTATGGAGTCAGGATTCCTGTCTCTAGTCTTGACCTTAGTCAACCTGGCTGACCCTCTCTTAGCCTCAGTTTCTTCATCTGTAAAATAGCTATCAAATGGTTACTTTGAAAGCAAATGAGATAATGCGTATCAGGGCCGTTCAGTAGAAATAGAAAGTGAGCTACATAAGAACTTTTACATTTTTCAGGAGTACTATGGGTCAAATGTGTCCCCCAAAGGTTCATGTTTTGGAAACTTGACCTTCCTTGTAAGAGCATTAAGAGGATGGAATATCCAATTATGGTGTTTGAAAAGTGGGGCCTTTGATAGGTGATTGGATCCAAAGACCCTGCCCTAGTGAATGAATTGATCCATTCAAGGAGTAATGGGTTAATGGTTTAATGGGTGGTGATGGGCACGGTTCTGATGGCTTTAAAAGGACAGCAAGTGAGGAGGTTAGCTCCCTCTCGCTCAGCTCGTTCTCACCATGCGATTGATAGATTGATAGCCTCTGGGGCTATACAGAGTCACCACCACCAAGAAGGGCCTCACCAGATGTGTTCCCTAAACTTTGAACTCCCCAGCCTCAAAACTGTAAGAAATATCATTTCTTTACATATTACCGAGTTTCAGGTATTCTCTTATAAGCAACAGAAATGAACTAATAATCCAAGAAGCCACATTAAAAAAAGAAATAATATGCAAGGGTACTTCAAAAAGTTCATGGAAAGAATTATATTATCTTTTAATTCTATTTTTCCACAACCTTTTTGATGTACCCTTGTATTTTATATAACCTGATATATCCAAAATGTTATTACTCCAATGTATAACCACTGTACAAAAATTAAAAAGATATTTTGCTTTTTTTGTGCGTGAGTAAGATGTCTTCAAAATCCGGTGTGTCTATATTTACCCTTACAGTACATCTCAAGGCCACGTGTGGCTGGTGGCAACTGAGGTGAAGAACACAGAGGTAGAAAGCACAGAACACAGCTGTAATTCTTAATCTGAAAGCTGTTTAAGTGTGCAAAGCACTCTCCTAACAGCAAGATCCCTACCCACTCACAGATGAGGAGCTTCCTGAATGGGAAAAGGACCAAAAGGCCTATTTAAACTTGCACTCAGGACAAAGATAAATTCATCATACTCCTTCAAGAAACAGACCAGGTAAAATTGAACAAATGGAGCCTTCTGAAAGTTTGCAGCCTTTAGCTGTCACAGGCACTGACACCAAATGCTCCACTCCACCATAGCCGTGGCCATATCCCTTGGCAAAAGCAAGGATTGCAGCTCCATTCTGGGGCATTTGTGGCACTTTAGCTGGAGCAAGGCAGGCAACTTTGCACACAGGGCTCCCTGAAATCCTCACTGCAAGTCTTTAAAGGGATTAATATTATTATTATCAGGTGAGGCTCAGAGAAATAAAGTGGTTTGTCTAGAAAGACAGAGGCAGAGCAAGGATTCAAACAGTCTGAGCGAACAAAGCCAGAAACCTCAGTGTCCCTATCACCCCCTGGCACTGTTGGGAGTCAGTGTGCGAGTAGTGACTGCGGCCCTTGGTTGGATTCCTTGGTCCTGTTAAGCATTCATGACTGGCATCAATTTTTTAATAAGCAACATAATTTCTCTGAAGACCCATAC